GGTGCCTGTAGTCCCAGCTACTCGGGAGGCTAAGGCAGGAGAATCACTTGAACTTAGGAGGCAGAGGTTGCAGTGAGCTGATATCACGCCACTGCACTCCAACCTGGGCGACAGAGTAAGACTCTATCTCAAAAAAAAAAAAAAAAGAAAAAGAAAAGAAAAGAAACCATTCCCTACTGATAAGAAAGTGTAGGGAAAGGCAAGGAGATGGTGAAATGCCAAGAGTATGATAAAAATCTGTCTATGTAGTCAGAGAACAGAACAGGACAGAACAGGATTCAGAGATGAGAATGGAGAACGTGGACAGACACTCAGCCTCAAGTAAGAGCAAGGGAGATGGATTGACCCCTTTGTATTAGATAATATCAACTGAGATAATATCAACGTTGTATTCCCCACTTTGATGGCATTCTCCTTTTAAATCCACCTCCAAGGCATCTTTGAGATGGCTTCCCCAGCCCGTCATCTCCTGGGTAGAAAAAGGAAACACATGGGCCACTTGCCTCCGCTCATCATTCCAGGGCTTTCAGAGGGAAGCTCAGTCCATCACAAGCTGGTGAATGACCCAAGGGAGATACGGGAAGTTTTTGGAGGTGGGGGGCATTGTGGGGTGGGCCCAGCAGTCTGAAGACACCATGAAATTGTCATTCTAGGGATGATATATTACTACTTCATGGACTATCATCCTTTGCCCAGATCTGTCCATGGACAAAATCCCCACCACTGGGGTGCTATTTGATCTCCAAAATCCAGATAAGCCAGTTTGTCCCCTGAGCCCCTCTGCCTCTTTTTAATGACCTTTAACCTATTTTTTCTTGATCCCCAGGATCAGACAAGAGTACTGGGAGCTGGAGCTTACAGTCAAAGGAGAAATGAGCAATCTGCAACCTTTGGAGGAGGTCAGCTGGGTGCAGGTTGAGGGGAGGGTGATCATATGGGGAGAAGGAAGGTGAGGACCTTAATGTCTTGGAAAGAGGGAGTGAAAACATCATGACCAGAAGTCAGAGCTAGGAGGTACTTTGTAATCAACAAAACAGCAAAAAACGACTCAGAGATGGAACCCAAGTTAGGTTGGGGGGTGGGGGCAGTCAGACTCAGCTACATCTGACTCCAAAGATCAAGTTCTTCTCAACACATTAAACGTTCTGAGAAGTCCTGCAATTAACAATTTTACGTTGAGTTTTTAAAAGATGACGTTCTTATCACTGGGGTACTCAGTACCCTGCTTCTGTTCTGAAAAGAAATGTTGACTCCCCAAAATTCTTCTTCCTCAGATGGAAAGCACGGGATCTCAGTATTAGCTTCAGAAACTCTGAGACCTCTGCAAGTGAGGAGGTAATAGAGGAATGCTCAGCACATCCTTGGGGAGGATGAGGAGACTTGTAAAGCCACAAAATATGACAACTGGAAGGGATCTTCAAAATCACACACGCTCTCATTGTCTATATTTGGAAAGTGAGGCTCAGATGATCAGATGGGTGCAGTAACTTGCCCCAAGTTCACACCAATCTAGGACAAAGCTGGACCCCAGGTTGGGTTGCCAGGTTTGGGAAATAAAAATAAAGGACACCCAATTCACATCAACAACAAATAATTGTGTAGTATAAGTATATCCCATGCAATATTTGGGATATACTTATACTAAAAAATCATTTCTTTTTTAATTTGAAATGTAAATGTACCTGAGCATCTTGTATTGTACCTGACAACCCTTAGCTCAAGCCTCTCTTGTTTCGTTTGTTTGCTTTTGTGACGGGGTCTCACTTGTTGCTCAGGCAAGAGTGCAATGGCAAGATCATGGCTCATTGCAACCTCAACCTCCCAGGCTCAAGTGATTCTCCCACCTCAGCCTCCAAAGTAGCTGGGACCACAGGTGCACACCAGCACAACCTGCTAATTTCTTTTTTTTCTTGTCTTTCTTTTTTTTTTTTTTTTTTTTTTTGAGACAGAGTCTCACTCTGCTGCCCAGGCTGGAATGCAATGGTGTGATCTCAGCTCACCACAACCTCTGCCTCCTGGGTTCAAGCGATTTTCCTACCTCAGCCTCCCAAGTAGCTGGGACTACAGGTGCATGCCACCACACTCAGCCAATTGTTTGTATTTTTAGTAAACATGGGTTTTCACCACGTTAGCCAAGATAGTCTCTATTTCCTGACTTTGCGATCCGCCCACCACAGCCTCCCAATGTGCTGGGATTACAGGTGTGAACCACCACACCTGGTCCAGATAATTTTGTCATTTTCTGTAGAGACAGAGTCTCACTATGTTGCCCAGGCTTGTCTCAAACTCCTGGGCTAAAGTGATCCTCCCACCTCAGCCTCCCAAAGTGATGGGACCACAGGCATGAGCCATCACACCCAGCCTCCACACCTCTTTTGACTACATCAGCTTCTCCTTGAACCTCCCATGCTGATTTTTGTCATTTCTTGGCCCAGGAGAAATACGATATGTCAGGTGCCCGCCTGGCCCTCACATTGTGTGTCACCAAAGCCCGGGAAGGTTCCGAAGAAGACCTGGATGCCCTGGAACACATGTTTCAGCAGCTGAGATTCAAAAGCACCATGAAGAGAGACCCCACTGCCCAGGTATCAGGGTGCCTACTCCAAGCCAGGCTGGGGGAAAGATACTAGGTTGGATGTGTGGGCTCTAGGGACTCAGCTGAGTCTGGTTCTTCCTCCCACTCCAGCAATTCCAGGAAGAGCTGGAAAAATTCCAGCAGTCCATCGATTCCTGGGAAGAACCCGTCAGTTGCGCCTTTGTGGTACTCATGGCTCACGGGAGGGAAGGCCTCCTCAAGGGAGAAGATGGGGAGATGGTCAAGCTGGAGAACCTCTTTGATGCTCTGAACAACAAGAACTGCCAGGCCCTGCGAGCCAAGCCCAAGGTGTACATCATACAGGCCTGTCGAGGAGGTGGGGACAGACCCAAGAGCAGTCTGTGGTTTGTTGTTTTTGTTTTGTTTTGTTTTCTTGAGACAGAGTCTTGCTCTAGCACCCGGGCTGGAGTGCGCTGGTGCAATCTCAAATCATTGCAATCTCCATCTCCCAGGCCCCAGCCATCCTCCTGCCTCAGCCTACTGAGGAACTGAGACTACAGGCGCCTGCCACTATGTCCAGCTAATTTTTGTAGAGACAGGGTCTCATTATGTTGCCCAGGCTGGTCTGAAACTCCTGAGGCCAATCAATCCTCCTGCCTCAGCCTCCCGCCACCACCACGCCCAACCAAGTCTATGGTTTTATCCAAGCCAGTCTCAGATCCAAAGCCCCAGCTGAAGCCAGGCACCATGGCTCATGCCTGTAATTCCCGTACTTTGGGAGGCCCAGGTGGGAAGATTTGAGGCCAGGAGTTCAAGACTAGCTTCTGGGCAACATAGTGAGAACCCAGCTCTACAAAAAAATTTAAAAACTAGCCAGGAGCATGGTGGCATGGGCCTGCAGTTCTAGCTGCTCAGGAGGCTGAGGCAAGAGGATCACTTGAGCCCAGGATTTAGAGGCTGCGGTGAGCTATAATTACATCACTGCACTCCAGCCTGGGCAACAGAGCAAGCCCTTGTCTCTAAAAAATCATATTAAATTAAAAAGCCCCACTGTACCTGCATACCACCAGACCATCCTAGGACCTTCTCCTTACCTTTTTTTCTAAGAGGCAACATCTCACTCTGTCACCCAGGCTAGAGTGCAGTGGTACAATCATGGCTCACTGCAGCCTCAAGCTCCCAAGTTCAAGTTATCCTCCTGCCTCAGCCTCCCAAAGCGCTGGGAGGACAGGTGTGAGTCACCATGCCCGGCCCCTTTCCTTACCTTTCTCTCTGACTTTGTCTTCTCCTCTGCTTGTTGTTTCAGAACAAATGGACTCCGGTGAAATAGTAGGTGGGGATGAGATTGTGATGGTCACCAAAGACGGCCCCCAAACCATCCCAACTTACACAGACGCCCTGCACGTCTACTCCACGGTGGAGGGTATGAGCTCCCAGCTGGCCCAATGCTACCTCTGCTCTTCCCCATCACCTGCCACTCCCCTGAACCTCTCCTCCAGGACCAACCCCCTTCCAGGATCCCCTCTCTCTACCCCCCTAAACCTCCCCCGAGCCCACCTCTCTGGGATTCCCAGGATACATCTCCTACCGACATGATCAGAAAGGCTCCTGCTTCATCCAGACCCTGGTTGATGTGTTCACAAAGAGAAAAGGACATATCTTGGAGCTTCTGACAGAGGTGAGTTGACATGAGGTAGCTGGGCCACCACTCAGGCCAAGTAGGGTGCAGGCAGAGGGGGCTGCGCCTCTTCCTAACTCCTCTCCAGTTCCCCCAGCCCCAAACCCAACGCACATCTCAACACAGAAACTAAGATGCCCATCTTCCAACAACTTTCCCAAATGCAGGAACTCTCAAAACTCACAGTATGTGAAATCACTTCAGTGAAATACAGATAAATTTCTGTAATCAAACCTCCCCTTGGATATAAACAATGTTTGGGCAAACTGTTTTCTTTTAATGTTTGTATGTGTTTTTATTGCAAATTAGGAAAACAAATGGCCAACCAAGGATTCCATACAAACTATGGTACAGGAGGAGACCATAAAGGTCTCTAATCTTGGGACAAGAATACCCACCTGCCCCGTTACCTAACCCTCCCCCCATAAGCCCATGACACTGACTTCTCCAAGCTGACCACACCCGTTGCTGCAGGTGACCCGGCAGATGGCAGAAGCAGAGCTGGATCAGGAAGGAAAACCAAGGAAAGTGAACCCTGAAATCCAAAGCACCCTCCGGAAACGGCTGTATCTGCAGTAGGAGCAGAAAGACAGGGAGGAGCTTTCCTTCCATCATTCCTTCTGTACCACAGAAATTTAGAGGCAGCTCTTACCACTTCCCAATATCTTCTCTTCCCAAGGATAAATGACGCCTAGTTTCTTTTTCATCATGCCCCTCATGCAGGTCCTCCTTTAATCTGTCCCTGTCCTTCTTAGAGCAAGCCAGCCAAAACTTAGCACAAGGCACGGTGGTAACATTAACATCATCTCCCTCAGGCTGGACATTCTATCTTTATTAATGCAACCTACGAGACCTAAGAGTGCATTCACTTATCCTACTTTCTGTTCCTGTGGTCTTCTTTCTCCCATGAAGCAGAAACAGGATAAAACTCAAGATTTTCCATGGACAAATCAATGCCCACTCATCCCCTCCCACCCCAATCCAACCTCCACTGGCTCCTGCATCTCACTTGGAGATAAAACCTCCTCCTGTGGTCAATGCATTCCCAACTTCCAGTTCCCTCCTTCACTCTGGTGATTTAGTAAGGCAAGAACCATTCTTTCCAAAACCACTCCTCCTTGGCTAGCAAGTTGGTGTCTTAACTCCGTTCTCTTCCTGGCTCATGGCCTCTCTGGATAATGAAGTTGTCTCTTCCTTTCTGGATCTCTTCCTCCTCACACCCCTCCCCCTGAGACCCCGGACTCTGCCCTCTCTCCAAGAAAATCCATCCATTCATCTATTCTTGCAGTCAACTACTCTGAATTAGAGCATGCTGGAGCTATGTCAAATTCCCTGTTGTCACCTTGCTATTTTGCAGACAATATAATGTTTAACCTCTCTTAACAAGAGAGGTTCAATAATTTGTCAAATGCAACACAGTAAGACAGAGACAAGGACAAGGTTTGACTTCCAGTCCAGCCTCCTTTCCACGACATGCTAAGTCTTGATCCATCTGAAATCTTTCTTGATTAGTGAAGATGCCTAATAATTTTCCCTACCTCCAAGGTAGGAGCCTTCTGGAAGTTTCTAGAAATTCTCAATAACCACCAGCTAAGGTTACCTCCAGGTAACCTTGTAGCACCAGGCTGGAAGTCAGACCGGCTTCACTATCTTCCCAGTCTGTATCTCCCCATCCCCAGCCCTGACCTTTCCTGCTCAGATAATCTGTGGGTGCATCCAGTGTCACTGAAAACTCAGAGCTAAAGATGAACCTTTTCTTCTCCTCCAAGCATCCCCTGGTATCCTCAACCTCAGATTCCAGGTTGCGATTTCTGCAGTTAATCTATGACCCCTCTCTTCTTGCATCCTTCATATGCCACCAGACACCATGCCCAGTCCAGCTTGATTTTGAAACAACTTTCGTGCCTGTCTTCTCTTCCCTGACATGTTACTCTCCAGGCTCAAGTCCTCATCTTCTCTTATCTGCATCTTTGCAACCAACTTCCTCCCTTGCCTCTCTGCATTTCCAACTCACTTTCCATGTGTTTTCTGTATCATCTATAACAGTGATCTCCCTGGAACACTCAAGAAGGCATGACATACCCTATTACTTAAAGACCAGGGGTCTGGGTTCAGTGGCTCACACCTGTAATCCCAACACTTTGGGAGTCTGAAGTGGGAGGATCACTTGAGGAGAGGAGTTAGAGACCAGCCTGGGCAACACAGCAAGACCTCATCTCTACAAAAAAAATTAAATAATTAATTAATTAATGAATTAACTGGGTATGGTGGCAAGTGACTGTAGTCCCAGCTACTCAGGAGGCTGAGGTTGGAGGATCACTTGAGCCCAGGAGTTTGAGGCTGCAGGGATCTATGATCATGCCACTGCATCCCAGCTCTAAGCAGGAGAGTGAGATCTGGTCTCCAAAATCAATCAATCAATCAAATAAAGACCAAAGTCAAACTGCACATCGGGATCTCTCACACCTTTCCAGTGTTGCCATCTGCCAGCACTTAGCTTAACACATCTCCCACCTCTTCCGCCATGAATTCACTCTTTGAGCAAGGCTAATGTCGTCTTACTCACCCTTGCCTCTAAGCGTTTGCTATCACCATTGCCCCTAAGCTGGGGGGCTCTCCCTCTCCCTTTATCCCTCTTCTACTACCCCCCACCCCTACTTTTTCCAAAAACCCATTTCCACTCTTTTTTCTGGTTGATCCTGCCCTCTCGCCCAGAACAAGATGCTGGAAATGACCACTTCCGGAGGACAGGGAACAAGTGCTTGATCTGCATAATAAGTATTCAATAAACAGTTGTCAAACTTTGAAAGAAAGTGTTGAAATCTTTGTTCTGTGCTGAAACCATGAGGCTGATATGAATGAGTTATGGATTTAATTTTTTCCCCCAGTGGCAACTTCTTCCCAGGTGTGTCTATCATGAATGGAGAATCAGGAGCCTCATCCTGTGTCTTCTTTCCTTTTTTTTTTCTTTAAGAGATAAAATCTTGCTCTGCCAACCAGTCTGGAGTGCAGTGGTGCATCATAGCTCACTGCAACCTCCTGGGCTCAAGCCGTCCTCCCACCTCAGCCTCCCACGTAGTTAGAACTACAGGTGTGCCCCACCACACCTGGCTAATTTTCTTATTCTTTTGTAGAGATGGGGTCTCACTATGTTGCCAAGGCTAGTCTCACTCTCCTGGTCTCAAGCAAACCTCCTGCCTTGGTCTCTCAAAGTGCTGAGATAACAGGCGTGACCCTCCACAGTGAGCTCCTGTCTCTTTCATAGAAACAGATGGCTTGGGAATTTGTAAAGCTGCAGGCAACACTTCCATGCTGAATGGCCATCTTTTACATAATCGTTCCATCTCCAGAATGTTTCCAAGGAAGTATGCAGACACAGAAATGTTGCTTTTCAGAGCTATAAGGGACATTGGAGGTGGGCTAGTTACAGAATCAAAGACATTTAGCAAGTGTGCCACCTCTCTCTAGCCCGGTGCCCACGGCAGACATGACTAATCAACCACATATATTTTTCCTAATGAACTCAAGCGTAGCCTCAAAGCCTTTCTCCTATGAGCACTCAGGAAACTGACACCTGTCTATTCGCATAAGCACATCATCCCTGATCCATCTGAACCTGAACCTCCGCCTTAGGGAGTAAATTGTGTGTTGTCCTCTTTTGTGGTACACTCAGTGCTCTAGCCATGGCAGTAACTGGGGTTTTATCCATGGAAATGGCAAAGCAAGTGGCCAATGCAGGGGTGGGTTTCCAGGGCCAAGAGATCCGGGGTGCTGCATGCACTGAGTTCTATACACTCATTTATGTGCCAACCTGCTGTCCAATCACCCAATGATTCTGAAGTTTCCAAATATGAGATTCAGAAAACTGTGTCTCATTCACCAGATCCAGCCTGCAGTTTGCTTTATCAACAAAGCTTTGCCGGCACACAGGTAAATGTATTCACTTACATACTGTCTGCGGTGCCTTCTCCCTACAACGGAAGAGGTGAGTACTTAGAACAGACAACATATGGCCCATAACGCTGGCTATCAACTATTTGGCCTCTTACAGGGAAGGTTTGACAACCTCTACCCTAATATCTTTCCAAAAATTCCTATTTTGAGATATCACCTCACACCCGTTAGGATGGCTATTATCAAAAAGATAGGAGATAAGTGTTGGTGAGGGTGTGCAAAAAAGGGAAACTTTGTACTATGTTGGTGGGAAATAGAATGGTGCAGCCATTGTAGAAGACAGTATGGAGATTCCTAAAGAAATTAAAATCAGGCCAGGCACGGTGGCTCACGCCTGTGATCCCAGCACTTAGGAAGGCTGAGGCGGGCAGATCACTTGAGGTCAGGAGTTCAAGACCAGCCTGGCCAACATGTTGAAACCCCATCTCTACTAAAAACTCAAAATTTAGCTGGGCATGGTGGTGGGCGCCTGTGATCCCAGCTACTTGGGAGGCTGAGGCAGGAGACTTGCTTGAACCTGGGAAGTGGAGGTTGCAATGAGCCGAGATGATGCCACTGCACTCCAGCCTGGGCAACAGGGTGAGACTCTGTCTCAAAAAATGAAAAAAGAAAAAAGAAATTAAAATTTCAGAGGTGGGAGGATCACCTGAGTCCAGGAATTCGAGGCAGCAGTGGGCTATGATCATGCCACTGCATTCTAGCCTGGGCAACAGAGCAATACCCTGTCTCAAAATAAAATAAAATAAAATAATTTAATTTAATTTTAAAAAAGAAAAGGAATGAAGGACTAATATGGGCTACAACCTGAATGAACCTTGAAAACATTATGCAAAGTGGAAAAGCCCATTGCAAAAAGTCACATATTACACAGTTTCATTTATACGAAGTGCTCAGAACAGGGAAGTCCATAAAGACAGAAAGCAGATCAGCAGCTGCCAGGAGTTGAAGGGAAAGAAAGGAGAAGTGATTGTTTAATGACTACAGGTTTCCTTCTGGAGTGATTTAAAAACTCTTGGAAATACAAAAAATTACCCAGGCATGGAGGCATGTGCCTGTAGTCCCAGCTACTTGGGAGGCTGAGGCAGGAGAATCACTTGGACCTGGGAGGCAGAGGTTGCAGTGAGCTGAGATCACACCGCAGCACTCCAGCCTGGGTGACAGAGTGAGACTCCCTCTCAAAAAAAAAAAAAAAAACTTTTGGAATTAGATAGTGGTGATGGTTGCATAACTCTTTGAACATATCAAAAACCATTGAATTGTATACTTTCTTTTTTGGGTGGATGGGCATAGGTTCTCATTCTATTGCCCAGGTTGGAGTGCAGTAGCACAACCTCGGCTCACTGCAACCTCCACCTGCTGGGCTCAAGCGATCCTCCTGCCTCAGCCTCCCAAAGTGCTGGGATTACAGGCATGAGCCACCAGGTCCCACAATGAATTAGATACTTTCGAAGGGTGAATGTTATGGTATGTTAATTATATATTAACAAAGCCGTTGTTTTAAAAAAAGGAAAATGTACCTATTATAAAAGGAAAGTTAGTATCACTTGCCACAGTAGGAAATAACCATACCAACAAGAATATACAATTAAAATCTTACATCATCTCAATGTACCACCAGGAGTGAGTGTCACATACTACGTACAAACATTTCTCTAGCAGTATTGCTCATTCAAAGGCTACGAGCATTTTAATTTTGATAGATTTGTACACTCATTCATTGCATTAAAATAACTTATCAAATCTCTATCGAATACCAAATGCTGTCCTAGGTGCTGGAAATAGTGTCATTGACAAAGGCAAAGTCTTTGATCTCATGGGACCTACACTGTAGTAGGGGAAATGTGATAAGCAAACACATAACACCACAATATGTATTTTTGGTAGTGCTGAGTGTCGTGGAGAAAAATAAAGCATCGTAAGGGGGTTACAGAACCATGGCAACAAGGTGCTTTTTTATTGTGGTAAAATACACATAATATAAAATGTATTGCCTTAATCTTTTTTTTTCTTTTTCTTTTTCTTTTTTTTTTTTTGAGACAGAGTTTTGCTCTGTTGCCCAGGCTGGAGTGCAATGATGCGATCTCGGCTCACTGCAACCTCCACCTCCCAGGTTCAAGCAATTCTCCTGCCTCAGCCTTCCAGGTAGCTGGGATTACAGGCGCCCACCACCATGGCCGGCTAATTTTTGTGTTTTTAGTAGAGATGGGATTTCACCATGTTGGCCACACTGATCTCAAACTCCTGACCTCGAGTGATCTGCCCACCTCAGCCTCCCAAAGTGCTAGGATTACAGGTGTGAGCCACCACGCCCAGCCTCGCTTTACCATTTTAAAATATTCAAGCAGTGGCATTTAGTGCATTTACAGTGTTGTGCAACCAACACCTCTGTCTAGTCCCAGAATATTTTAATTACCCAAAAGGAAACCCCACACTCAGACAAGTGTCAGGAGTCTTGCTCTGTCACCAAGGCTGGAGTGCAGTGGCACGATCTCGGCTTCTGCAACCTCCTCCTCCTGGGTTCAAGCGATTCTCCTGCCTCAGCCTCCAAGTAGCTGGAACTACAGGCACATTCCACCATGCCTGGCTAATTTTTTCTTTTTTTTTTTTTAGTACAAAGGGGGTTTCACCACGTTAGCCAGGATGGCCTTGATCTCGTGACCTCATGATCCACCCACCTCAGCCTCCCAAAGTGCTGGGACTACGGGTGTGAGCCACCTTGCCCGGCTGCCACTGAGACTCTTAACAGGGTAATAGGCCTTCCTACTTTCCCTGATGAAGGTGGGTGCCAGGGAGTGTGATATTTCCATGTTATATCCAGCACCTGGATAATAACATGTGCAGTGAAATGAGTCCTGTTATGTGAATCAATGTTCTCTATTAATCTAAACTTGGATATAATATTTTCAACTAATGCCTTGACTGCCTTATTAGCAGTTGTACTTGAAAAGGAAATAGGTTCTACCCAATGAGTAAGGTGATCTGCTATTACCAATAAATGCTTTGGATGACCAGTTGGAGGCATCTCTGTGTAATCAATCTGGATACTCTGGAATGGCCTTAAGCCTGGATTCCTTCCCCCAAGGGGTAATTTTTTTAATACTTTATTAGTTTTCTTACATACCAAGCAACTGTCTGTAACCTGTTTGGCTAGGAGATAAATTCCTATGCACCCATAAACTCTGAGGACTGCGTGGCACATGGCTTGGGGCCCCCAATGTGTCCCTCAATGCCTTTGGTATCAGATTCCCCTCATAAGGTGTTTGGATAACATTCCTCTCTGGTCTGGAGAAGGGCTAATATCCAGAATCTACAAAGAACTTAAACAAATTCACAAGAAAAAAAAAACCATCAAAAAGTGGGCAAAGGATATGAACAGACACTTCTCAAAAGGAGACATTCATGCAGCCATCAAACCATGAAAGAAAGCTCATCATCACTGGTCATTAGAGAAATGCAAACCAAAACCACAATGAAATATCATCTCACACCAGTTAGAAAGGCAATAATTAAATAATCAGGAGACAACAGATACTGGAAAGGATGTGGAGAAATCAAAATGCTTTAACACTGTTGGTGGGAGTGTAAATTACTTCAACCATTGTGGAAAACAGTGTGAAGATTCCTCAAGGATCTAGAACTAAAAATACTGTTTGACTCAGCAATCCCATTACTGGGTATATATCCAAAGGATTATAAATCATTCTGTTACAAAGACACATGCACATGTATGTTTATTGTGGCACCGTTCACAATAGCAAAGACTTGGAACCAACCCAAATGCCCATTAATGATAGACTGGATAAAGAAAATGTGGCACATATACACCATGGAATACTATGCAGCCATAAAAAAGAA